GAAAAGGATAGAGCCGTTGAAGCCAAAGTTTCTGTACATGTTTCCCACTCTGTCTGCTTGACACATGGGACAGTGCACTACCACCGGCGTGCCACTATCGCGCTTGGCGAGCGAGCGGCCACAAACTGAATCTGATGCTCGCCGGGCTTGGAAACTGCTCTGTGTGGCTATAAGTTCGTTTCGAGTTTCAACGATATCCACCTATTTTCATATTTTGACAGGCAGCTACCCACCACGAAAATAGTAATTTCAAGGTTTGTCAAACGGGGAGTGTTTTTTCAAGTAATGAGCTGGTAGATTGCGTTTGTGCAGATGGCGGGGCGACACCTCACAATTTACACGTGACGTCACGCACAAGAAAAACGACTACAATTGGCTTCTGCCGATCGATTGAGGTAGAGGTGAAATGGGATGCAAGAAATTGAGTAAACAGGTTCATTAAGTCCTCTCCAATTTCTGACAAAGCCTTCGCTAGTCACTTCTGTAGTACTGAGATGATATTACTCCAAGCAATGGTAGAGCTACAAGGGGGGGGGAGGTAAAAAGAGTCACTCACCCGCCCCACTGAAAACGGTTGAAGACTTTTTTCCTAAATTTATACCAAACGATCTCAACTGAGATCAATTGCACCCTGCCAAACTTTATGATATCTCTAAGACCTCGGAATATTTTGCTTTTGGAACAAGGTGCCGGGTCGACGTCGTCGACGGATCGTGGGCCATTACGACGTCATCTGAAACGCTAGTCGAAAGCGGTCTTGCATAGTCACAGCTAGTGTCTCTAGAAGCTATTCACCAGTTAATCGATTGAAGAAATTATGTAGCAGCTTCAGGCGGAGCGATTACGGTAAGCCTCCTTGAGCTCGACGGTGATGACAGATGACGTCATATTCTGGAGACGGTGAGGCAGCGAAGGAGGGCCTGCTTCTGCTTATGGGGGGACATCTAAGGAATAATTTCGTTGATAACTCCAATAACAGCGGCATCCTTTGCGACGAAAAGTTTGGTGATGTGCGCCATGGAACTTTTTTGGCCTCCTGGATGTGTGACTAGAAACACAAAGATAAAATCATCATTTGGTATCAAAAAATATTCATTGCGCACAGTTTCATACAATCATCTCTCTTGAAAACGAAAACCTTAAAATTAAATGAAGAATTTTACCTTGAGATTTTTTGGAATCTCGACAGCTAAGGATTCAAAAACCAAATTGAATAACACATAAAATTTTGAAGCCATCTGGTTGATTGGAAAAAAAGGTAATGCTCGAAAAATCGTTACGGCAAATCGTGTGTCATACGTAAGATTTTTTGTGGTGCTGCCTTAAAAACGGCGAGTAAGGTGCGAAATCCGGGTCAAACTCCTGCGTTATGAGCAGCTCTAATGAGGCGTAGTTGAATATTTGGAGTGGAGTGATTTATGGAGGTTGAAGGATAGGCTGCGAGGAGGCGTTCATGACCAGTTTTCTGAACAATTTTGACAGATTCTGGAACATGACATGGCGGAATCCGGTATTTATGAGGAGTCATACATCCCCCCGTGCTCGACGACCATTTAGAGGAAGATGTGGGCGAACTGGATCGTTTGACAGGTCACCGAATGAACACTGTAGAGTTAGTCATGGTGGTGAGGGTGATGGAGCTAGGGGTAAGGTAGTCGTCTTGGGGGACTCCTAAGCGATATTTGGTGGGGACCCCGAGTGTTTTCCCAGCGACCCATTTTTTGAGAAGAGGGGTAGGGCCGTCAAAATTTCTTCGACCCTGAACATGAACTGGTAACCCTCTCGCGAAATCTGGCACTAATAAATAAAAACATCAACCACTCGTCGACATCTTTCCCTCCTAAAGGTGGATAGTCACGGAGAATCTCGAGAATCTCTAGCGTGACAGCTCAAAAAACACTGACACCGAGAGGCCAGCGAACAGCCCGTGCAAGGTGAGACGAACATGCAACGAGCGAGACAGTTCCCGCGGGCACCAACGCACAGCGAGACGTACTCACGAACGCCCAGACTGCATTGTTGCAATGATGGGTTCAGCCGGCAACAAAGACACTAGCTCTGCGGTTGGAGACCCTATTACCTTACCTACTACCTTATTTGTTAAAGGAATTGAACTGAATCTCATCACGAGGCTCCCCTGACACGGTTTGTGCATCGAAGATATGTCCTGAATAACTGAGCCTTCTATCTCTACGTTAGCGGCGAAACTTTACTGTTTGGACGAAAATCACCGCCCGGCAAATCGGTTGGCTCTCAGCAACTGCTGAGCACATACGCTTCAAACAGCATAAAGTTTTCGCCACCCCATACCCAGGGTCGAATGGAAGCACCTCGGCCGGATGGGCGCCTAGAACTCTCAGTCATGCCGATCCCATAGTTTGCGAATCGCTCGATCAAACTTTGCGCCAGCGAATCGAACTTGTGCACCAGCGAGTCGAACTAGGTACCAGCGACTCAATAGTGGCGGGACCCAACTTTCAAAGGAAGCCCGCCACATTCAAACAGTGTCACGTGACAGTGGACGCTGTTTGAAAGTGGCGGGGTTGACAGTGGCACTGTTTGAAAGTGGGCGGGCTTCCTTTGAAGTTGGGTCCGCCACTATTGAGTCGCTGTACCTAGTTCGACTCCTGTGCCGACGTTCGATTCGCAACTATGACATCGGCCGTATCTCCTCTTACTCCAGTCCAAGCCGCAGTCCTCATGGTGAAGAATAGGGAATGCATCCAAAGATGCGGAGCTTTGGGGACCCTTCCCCTGCAGGGGTTTGCTGCACACGACCCCAGGAAGACTACGCTCCACTCAGTTCCTTCGTAAAGACTCGAAAACAAGCAAATCTGATTCAAAGAAGCAATTCTTCTTAGCGCTAATTTTATAGTGGTTTTTACCCCTGGTGAACCGATATATACCACCTTAGACAGCGCACGAGCGAGGTAGAAATATGCAAATCAGTTATGAATGTATGAGGGAACTAAATGAGCGAGTAAATGAGTTCCCCAGCGTCTAATGGAAAAGAAAGGGCAGTGCATATCAAATGAGATTGATTATTGCCGGAAAGTCCCACTTTACGCCATTATTGCTGCCTTCCTAGGAGTGCAATGGTAACCATGAATCATTCAAGCTGGGCCTTCTTACGAAGCGTACTTTTCGAAGAAACAAAAAACACAACAATAACGGTTAACCAAGCATGTTTCATAGCCAAAAAAATCGAGATCGTATGTGGAGCAACCTTCCGTGAAAAGCTCTGATTTCAAACCCAGGTGTTGGATTCTGAGTGTTTCCGAGGGTACTACATGATTGGTTTTGTTTTGTTACAATTGATCTCTGGCCTCTTTACAATCACCAACTAAAAATAATATGAATACTCAAAGGAGTCCAAGAAAAAACTCTCATTTCATGACTAATAGAATTTTTTCCAAAAAGTAGTACTTTTTAGATATTAAAGCTTATGTTGTAATAGAAATATTCCCTAGTTGTGAATCGCTCTAATGGCTAAGTGCACATTGAATCACCGTTTACAAGGCCAACGCTCGATACAACCGGATCAAATTCACTTACGTGACAAACTAGTCTACATCCCTTAACAGTCGGGACTCAGGTCAGATTCATTTCGTCAAGACTGCTAATTCTCCGATTTTACATCACCTAACCTCCGCAGTCAGTAACACATATTAGTACCATTAGAGTCGAACGGTTCCAAAAAACCTGTGATCTTGAAAATCCCAGAGTTAAATACGCGTGCGCATCCTGCAAAGTGAGATTTCGGGTCGCGATCGCACAGTGTGTATGTGAACGCCTACGTGAACCGTCCCTCCAAGTAAATCTGAGGAAGAAGAATTCAACTCAGAACTCACAAAGATCTCTTTTGGAACCGTAGAAATTCGAAAGTCTCCCCTAACCTCACGTTATTTTGGACTTCCCAACTTGGCGATTCAAAATTGACCCCGACCTTTCCAATTTTTCCGGGACAAAAGAACACGAGCAATGAGACTGTGCCTACGCCGATCAAATTCGAGGGCAAGTCAAATAGCCAAAGAATAAAGAGCCTAGCTAAGCCTTCTTAGGTGAGCCATCTAACTAAGAAGTGACTTTTAATCGTAGACTCGATTGAAAGCGCATTTGACTCCTGCGATGTCCTTCAAATCCATGTTTGACTAGACCCTTCGAATAAATGCTAACTAACCCTCCTCTTCACAGGCAATCTTCCCCAGGGGGGACATCTCAGAGAAAGACCTATCGTTAATTGCCACCTGAAAATAACGAAAATCAATGTCTATTCAAGAAAAATCAAAGATTCAAGAGCCCGTTTCACCATTTCAGTTCCTAAATGACACTTGTCTTCCCGCAGACCTTCTTATGCGTTGACCAGCTCAGCGATCTGAAGACAGCGCTCTGCAGCTGTCCCCCCCCCCGTTCCATTACTGTGCGCTACACGATCTCGAAGCTCTTCGATTTCACGCACTAATCCACCCATGCATGGTGCTCAAGGGTCAGTCCATTAGGCGGCACGCACAGCTGCTCCCCGCCGAAACCAATCATTGAGATCGAGTGGGCGTGGCCACAGCCGCGGCGACCAATCACAGCTCGACGGGGCGTGGCCGCGTTGGCGCTCCTCGAAGCTGGGAATTAATGAGAGCGTGCGGCTAATGGTATTAGGCTAGCCGTGTCGTCGTGGTCGTGGTCGTCGTGTCGTGCCGTGTCGTCTTGTGTTCCCCACCGTCGTCGTCGTCGTCGTCGTCATCGTCGTCGTCTTCCGACCCCACACATCCACACACACCGCCGCGCTTAATCCCTGTGCTCTTGAACCCTGTATTCGGCTTTTTCTGCACATTTCGTACTGAAATCTGACTGTGGTGTGACGATCAATCATGCGAGCCAGTTCCACGACATCGACCGATTCGAACGGTTTCCCGGTGAAAGACGCCGATGCGCTCAAGCTTTTCGTCGGCCAGGTAAGCTTTTTCGCTTGCTTTGTGCTTTTCGAGGGGTTACCCGTCTTCTTTGGCTAACCTGACGACTTTTAACACCTATTTGGCCTTCTAGGTCTTCTTGGGCCCACATTTTCTCCCCAAATAAGCCTCCGCTCCATAGCCTGAAGCGTTGATACCCACTTGTGCCACGGGGCAAACTAGTGCGTCGACAGCGGCAGCAGATCGATACCGACGGCTTCCTTCTGAGGGGCTCTCACACGGCCAACAACGAACTCAACGACGCATGAACATTACGACCTTAATCAAGCGGGACGACGGGATTCCGGGAAACCTGAGGGCTCTCAAAGAGTGCAAGCTGGACAGTAATCCGTGGAAACTTTTCAGATTCCGCGTAATCTCGAAGAAAAAGATCTGCGTCATTTGTTTGAGCAATTTGGAAAAATCTACGAGTTCACCATTCTTAAGGACAAATATACCGGTAAGCTGGGCAACTTGAAGGGGTTTTGATTGAATCTGGGTAAAAGTTTACTATTTTCAGGTATGCACAAGGGTTGCGCTTTTCTAACATACTGTCATCGTGACAGCGCAGTGAAATGTCAAGCTGCTCTTCACGATCAGAAGACTTTACCCGGGGTGAGTTGACGAGCCCAGCAGGGCTACTTCAAACTTTTGACACTTCTGAGATGATTTGTATTGGCAAATATGACCTCTGTCGCTAATAATTTGAGTTTGAGACATTTCGGAAGATCTCCGTAGCTTTTTTGAGCCCACTAAAACTTTGTCAGCTGAGAGCGCTTCGTTGAACAGACCTGCTGCGATACCATGGTAAAACTTACCCACATGGTAGGGGCTACCTGAGTTTTTCTCTACCATGTATCAATCATTACAGTATGTAGCGATCCAGTTGAGGCAAGTGGATGGCCAAAAAAGCCTTCTGGGACAAGCCATAAAATATTCATCACATAGATGATTCCTCAATTCCTCCTCCTTCATCTTTCGCTCCTCATCTGATTCTCAAGAGCTATTTGATCCTTCAGATCTCGACTTTGCCTTTTTGCCCTGCAACAAGCCACCTGTCATTAGTAGGTGTCTGATAGACGTGCCTGAACGCGCCTGCATCTTCGATTTCGCGAGTCGTAATGAGACTAACGAGCATGAGTGCGGCAGTCCTACGGTCATAGGTTACGGTAGCGAAATGCACGGCGCTTTTCCTATTATCAGTGCCGGTTAGCGCCAGATTGTGCGAGCGCAACATAACGCTCGAGCGCCCAGTCAAGCGACGTTGCCATGGCGTCTAGATACTTTGTCAGATAGCGACGATTCGCAGTAAATAACACGCTACGAATACTGATGAATTCCAGTCGAGGGAACGGCTTAGTATTCTCGAGGGACCGACTGCATGTTCACTGCAGTTGCCCTGCAGTTGCACCCGAATTCAGGCTACAGGATCAGGATATAGGAGTGCTTTACGGAGTTCAGGCCATAGGACCAGGATATAGGGTGCTTTACGGAGTTAGTAATGATCCTGTAAAATCCTGTAAAATTTGAGTTTGAATCGAAGAATTCCTACGGGAAAGGTGGTATTGCTTCAAGTCAAATAGATCAATCCTCAATTGAACAACATCAATGGAAGAGCTTCAAGGGCTTTTCCAAGGACCGGAATAGCTCGGTATCCCAGAAACTTTGCTTGGCCAAGCAATGTGAGATTTCTCCCTGTCAGGGTTACATGTTGGATGTTAGGGTTCAGGGCTACCAATAATAACGCGTCTCAGTATCATTACAGGGAAGTGGGGAGTTCTCGGATAAAGCACATGGGTTGTTAAACGCGAGCTAGGATAGTTTCTCTCAATGTCTGTAGCACCGTCTGTAGCCCAGAAAATGGCCTAACGTTAAATTTTGGTCTTACAGATGATAATCAGCTTCTAGATTTGATAACTGGGGTATAGAGGAGTGGCTGGACGCCCTACATCGTGCCTTAGGTTTCTATTATATTTACTACCACCCGAGAGCCCCTAGAAGAAAGGAACGTCAAGGAAACAGGAACCATCCGTCACGTGACTCGTCTGCCATCCTAGTAACCAATGAATGACTCTCGCGCCAAAGGTAACTATTGCGTTTAGAAAATTTGGGTTCAGTCAAGTTCTCCTCCTTCTTCGGTAATTCTCTGCTTCCAAGTGCTAACCTAAGCATGCAACTCCAAGAAAGAGTCCCGCATCCTGTCAGAAATCACAAGTATGACCCTCAGCGAATGGTGAGCGCTGATTTTGTGGGCTAGCGCCCTCTACGACCCTTTCGCGCAAAGAACTGCTTGATAGGTCTTTTATTCTCGAAGGCGCTAAGATATGCAACCGTTCTGTCGTTCAGGGCCATCGACAAAACAATCTGTCCTCGGGCTAGTCACTCGCCTAGAATTCTGTTAGTAAGACGAACAGCCCACCCCTTGCCTTGCCTCTCCTCCCTTCTCCTAGATGCTTTCATCTGATGACCGTCCTATTTTGCTGGGCACATTCATGAGGAAAGGACTTGAAGCGTAAAGCTAACAGCTTTGATCAATCGGTCCTTGGAAAGCGCCACGCAATTCCATTCCATTCCGAATCGTGGTTGCATTTTGAATGCGATTTGACCAACACGACGGCTTGCGGGGCCATCAGATGTACAAGTCTCCTTTTTGTTGTTCCAAACGAGTCTAGTAGCTGCAGGCGACTATGAGGGTAGGAAAGCCTGACGGGCCTAGGCAAAATTCCGCTAAGGATTCGATTCCGCCAGCCTGTATGTTAAGCGCACCACTTCTCGGCACATTAGCCATGGATCTCAGTAAAAACATTTATTTGTTAATATACCTGGCCAGTCTAAAAAATGAACGCTTGAAAATTCTCTCCACAAGCCCAGGAAACCGGCGTAATAAGTCCTGCAAACGATGTGACCCCTAGCACAGGAGCTCACCAGAAAGTTTTTCAACGAACTCCGTCGAATTCTAATAATTGAGGTTCTCAGCCCTGAAAATTGGAAAAATAATTATTTCATTTCTTTGAGCATATTCTTGGGAAAATTCCATACAATTCGCAGAGAATAATCCGGCCGGAATGCCATGAATGAAATGTGGACGAAGGGAATGTGACTCAGCTCAGCGCTCCTTACAGAAAACAGATAATACCTTTTCGGGAAACATCTGAAGCCGACCATTGTCCCCACAATTATTATGAATAATTTGCTCCTTCATGAATAGAAAATAGGAAAATGGCCGGAAATCGTCATCTGGCATCTATTCATGTAATGTTTTAAAAATATTGATTAGTAACAGAGCATTTTCGTATTTTTCGATGTAGCTAAGAAGAGCAGTAGCTGAGGCTTCGAGGTAGTGCACCGAGTACTTGAACCTAATCCTCCTCTTATTTCTTGAGAACGTCAAGCCAGGTGTCTGAGCACTGGATGACCTCTTGCTTCCTCTCATCATTGAGTGTCATTCAGTACGGCCGGCCGCCCGCTGCTGGCTGTCGCCTCCACCCGGGCTCTTCCGCTAACCCCAACTAAAAATGCCACACTGGCGCTCTGATTGAGCCGAACGGAAATCTCAATGGGAGGGCATCGTAAAATTCAGAAGCGAAGAATAAAGTGCTTTCCGCTTGGAAAAATGATGAAGGCTGAATTTCATCTCTCTAGCGCGAGATGACGGGTGAAGTTCTACCGCTTCGAAAAAAAAACAAAAAAAGGAGATAGGGCAAAGAAACTAAAGAGAGATAAAGTCAAATCAGGTAGTTACTGCCAGCAATTTTCACTGCACCACGCAAACGCTCACCAATCCATAACTGTAGAACGATGCAGCCCAATACTTAGCACCACGTACTCTCAGTGAAGTTTATGCGAACGCGTCCAAAAGGATTGTTATTGTTGGAGTTGATTCTCAATTCCTCCATGTTGCAACTGTATCCACCGTAGAACATGGTATGGGGTAGCCATATGACGCCAATCTCGCCACGATCCCGTTGTCGACCACGATCGCGGCCTACCAACCAAGAATTCTCCACCTCTGGCCATGCAGATCTATTGGTTGGAAAGGCCGGAGAGGAAGCTAGCTGTACTTTGGCTTGGCCACATTGGTTAATAACGCCTAGGTTCGCATTCAAATAATACCACGATTTGCATGGAAGTCGGATGCGTGCGCGTTCACACGAATGGTCAACTCGAACACCGTACTGTTCTGCACAATACATTGTCACACATCCCATTAAGCGATTTATGCCTTCCAGTGGTCTGTACCAAATAAATGACCATGAAACGACACAAAGCTTGGTTGGCCTGGGTGGACCATCAATGGCAGTGTGCAATTACCATCTCGTCCCTCAAATGGGTGGAACAGCTTCTGCAAACAGCTGCCATAAAAGGCTAGCTACAGGCACTTCACATAAGGGACCTGGTGGAGATTAACCCCTTTGACCCAGTTGAACTCCAGGATCGAGCTTGATCATAATTGAATTCTTAACCACGAAAAAAGGTTCAGACTGTCCTCTCTTCAGACCTCGTCCAGCTCAGCTCCAACTCTTTCCAGTCTGACTTATTCGAAGCAGCACACCAATTCATGCATATCCCTGACGAACGGGTTTTTCAAGCCCTGTTAGGCGTGCAAGTGTGCTAGGCAGGCGCTGTCAATAAAGAAACCTAATTTCGCGCTAGAGCCGTCTTCGAAGCGGCAAACATTATGCCGTGTGCGAACAGCTTGACGGCTCCCGGCTGTTTTCACCAGTGAAAGGGTCGCGGGTCCAGACGGCAGCATAAATGAGGGATGTGCAGGTGGTTGACGATTAATTGACGCACTGACCGCCTTTATCAGAACGTCGTCGCGCGCTCTCGAGAAAAGAATAGCTAATTCGCTGACCACCATCGATCACCATCTGACAGCATGTGAGTTGGGATTATTGCGGAGTGAAGAGGATTACCGCCACCGGAATGGACCCGTACTCTCAATGGAATTTTTGAACACGGGATATTTTGAGGAAAATTTCTGTACTGAAAACTTTCGGGAAGAAATGACGTTTCTAACCGAACAAGCAGTCGATAATGATGAGAGGGAAAATCGATTGCATTTTTATTGAAACCCCCTTGAATCCCGATCTGATACTAGTCTTCTATAGATTTTCCCCATTTTCGGAAATGTTCTGCTCTCGAGAGAGTCATGTTGGGTATTTTTTTAAGTGGTATAGCGAGCGGAAGTGGTGCAGTGGCAAGTAGCGCCGCCTATCGGGCGCACGATCGTGCGTTTGAATCCTGGATAGCCAACCAATACCGTCCAAACCTTCCATCCTTCTACGGCTGGCTAATCGCTATCAAACTCGTCTGGAAGGAGACACTGCCTTATACAACGGCCGACTTCGGGAGGAATGAAACTATGAGTCTAAGTGGAAGTAGAGCGCGTGGCGCATTCCAGATGGATTATCCAAGCAATGATCTCTTGATCCTTTCATTGAGGAGTTGCCTCTTGTATGAATGAGAAGGGGTGTCGAAAATTCTAGAGTATAAATTAAACCCAGCTAGAAGAGTCCCTCCTGACCTGAGGGAATTTTCAAGTAATTACTGAATTTTTTCCGCTCATTCAGATATTTCAACGAACAACTGCGCGTCTGATGACAGCCCCCGGATTTCGCTCCACAGTCTTCTCGAATTACTTCTTGCGTAGATGAAAGTTTAAAAGTCGCTTCCCGTAGTTATTACTACAATCTCTATGGGATGACTTCCAGTTGCCAGGCGTCCACCATGAACAAAAGGGCACAAATTGTCCGATTACGTTGGGCGTGTTCCAAGTAGCATTCGACAACACTCGGAACTTCTCCTACCTCCAATCCACCTCCATCTTCAATCCTTAAAACGGAGATGAAATGTAACAGGACTGCTGGAACTGCAGGAAATTATTGGAAATCATTACGATATTTAAGAAACTTTCCAAATTTTATAGGTTTTGTGAACGATTCTCAATGGCTTCCGAAAACATTGTCCGCGTGAGATTTTCCCCAAAACCACATACCCATTCCACAAACACTACCGTTCGTCAAAATTTTCAATTGCGCCCCTTCCCCTAGCCGACATGCTCGCTGGATGGTTGACAGCCGATTTGAAGTCATCAAAGCGACTCCCCATCAAAAACGATCCCTTAAAAAACGGATATTTTGCGCTAGCAGGACCTGACGTGCAGCGTTGTGTGTTATAGGATTTTGTGAACGATTCTCAAGCCAAAGGAGCACCTCTTCATTATCAAAGTCCAATTACCCTTCATTTGATCATGGAGTGCTGGGCCGGGGGTAGACCCAAGATTGGGTTGGTTTTAAGATCTGCCCAGTTTTTTCTGCAACCAATTGTTGGACCAATTCGGCCAGTGCGTCTGCGTTCCTTCGAAATTGCCAGAGGGGAACGCGAACAACCATGAATGCAATTGTGACTAGCCGTATTCCTAATTACTTTTATTGGCCAAATAGCTCCCACGTGGGAGATGAACCACATCTTTTCTCGGAACTGGACATGGGGAGGCCTATGTGGTAGAGGTTATAAGGGAGGGAGGGAAAATGCGCCTAAAGTGGCGCCGTCTGGCACGCCTGAGATCCAAGGATCAAGTCCCCGCAGGAATCGAAAGGCGTAAATCTCGTCTTGAACAATATTGCCTTGCTCCCACTCTCCTTTCCCTCCAGTAAGCTTAGATAGTTAGAAAATCATGATTGCCAATGACTGCGAAAATATGACAAGAGCTTAAGCTGATCTTTTCAACACAACATTGTGTTTAACATATATGCATTTAATAAACACCACCATTCTGAGTGAGAGTCGAATGCATGGCGCATCCCAGAGACTTACAAATCAACGCTTGAATGCTCCTTTCCATTTATTTTGAAGGAAAACTACAGGCATATTTCTTCGTTCATTCTGATCCCTCTCCTACTCGTAGTACTGACCATATCCGTCGGTGACGAGAAAGCTGAGGTTGATTTTAAGCGAATCGACCGAAATCCTGGAAATGAGTTGGCCAGAGCGCCGCTGATTGGTGCTCAAGAAAGGCATGCGGTCGGCCGGAACTTCACAATGAGATAAAGCCGCGAAACGAGGTTAGAGGCGGCCGGCGCTCCTCTGTGCGCTGCTCGTCATCCCTCGTCACAATGTGCCTGAGATGTCGACTCTCCTTGCCAATACCTAGGCAGCTTATCGCTGAAAAGAAGAAAGCTCTCCTGGGCTGATCGACTTCTCTCCGCTCTCGACGGAAAATTCCTCCTTTCAACGGGACATCGCTGACTTTCTGTTTCCCTTTAGTTCTGGTCTCCGTCTAGATCGATCTTTTCCTTTGTTTCTTTTTGGCCTGAGCGCCAACGTGACAAATTCTATAGTGCTCTTTTTCCTCTTTTTTTTCAATTTCTATTCTTTTCATCGGCTATTCATGGGAAAGTGAGAGAAGAAATAATGAAATAAAGGCGAACAATAACCTGACTACCGTAACAAATTTGCCATTACTATTCCTATTCATATTCGTCATTCCTGTCCTTTTTCAAAACTATTCATTAGTCAAAGCCTGGCTTGTCCCAAGGGCCCACTTGAACCTCATGGTTCGTAGATTGCGTGCTCCCGCGCTACTCAGAGGGTGTTACGAAGTTTTCAACCCTCCGGGGCCCTTCCGATCGATTATCGATCCATAATTCAAAAAATCAGTTGTTTATCGATGTAATGATAGAAAACATCCAGTGTTTTCAGATGAATCGTGCCATGCAGGTGAAACCGGCCGACACCGAGAGCCGACCAGCCAGTCCGAAAGACAAGGTGATTTGCCCAGCCAGCAGTGAATGCTTGCAGTAGTCAAGCGCGAGCACGGCACATGCCGTGCTTTACGTCGATCTACCGCCGGCATTTTGCCCGGCGTCAATTTTGCTACAGATTTCCCACCTTGGTGATATTTTAGTTACAGGTCGATGATAAGAAATTGTTCGTCGGGATGCTCTCGAAGCATCAATCCGAGGACGAAGTTCGAGCTCTGTTCGCCCCTTTTGGTGTTTTGGAAGAGGTAATTTTAATGCTATTTTGGTGCAAAAATCACCTTACTATTCCATATAGTAAGCAGTAAAAGTAATGGTATATACAGATGAAGGGAAAGCTATTCTTATACGTTCCCTTTACAACAAACTTCGAAATAGTTGCTCATAAGCATGCAGAATTGAGCTTTGAACGGTCTCCTAATCTTCGTCGCTTTCCGGGAATCTAGGTATTAATTATTCAAGAAACGACCGCAGGTCTTCATAGTAAGTTCCGCTGCATGGGCTTCCGATCCTAGAGACTTCCGGGTCCGTTACTAACAAGAGGGGACGGTGGCTAGAGGCGTTAAATAGCGCTTGCAGAGACCGCGGAATGCTTCTTACCCAGGTATCGAAGAACTGAATTTTTCCCTGCACGATTTCACTTCACCATATCACCCCAGGGCCGGGGACGGTAGCGCTACAGCGTTTCTGATTGTATGAAGGCAATCAACTCTGCAGTATCCAGTAGAGAGTGAACGCATGGCGTGTACCAAATGGATCGATACTCACATTGCCTTACAAAGCTTATTAAGTAAGGTTGACAACATCATTTCTCATAACGGAAGGCCATGCGGGAAAAGACGCTAGGCCATTATTTCACGGTGCGACAATGCCAGAATGTGAAGCCGACCTATTGTAATATTGCTCTAATACATGAGTTCAATCAATACCTATGCTAGCTTATTTACCTTACTATTTTTTCCAGTGTAAGAGGTCTTTAGAGTGAGTGAAAGCATGAAAAAGAGGGTTTGCTAGCCCTTATTTTGAAGTGCTGTAAGCAGCCGAACATCAAGCGCTACTATATAAAATTTCCCGTTTCAAGCTCGATTCCATGTTCGTGTCATCCATCTGTGGAGCTTGTCGAGGGAGGAAAATCCCCTCGGGATGTCGACTTATCCGACAAGGCCGCTCTATGCATTTATGCGTGAGCATCGAGGATGAAGCGGCCAATTGATTGCCGATATCCCTCATAGACACACAAGCTTCAAATAGGCGGCTGGGGATGGATAAGAGCGAAGCTGGAGGAATATTCACAGCGCAATTCTCTTTGGGGACCATTTTCCTTGCAGATCTGGAGCTAGGGGGATCGGATCGCCTGAGTAGTTGAGAAATGGCTTACATTGTAGGAGCAGCATCTAACCTTGACGAATTTGCGATACCTTATCTTAGGCGCAGGTCTGGGTATCCTAACAGCCAGCCCGCCTACCCGAGTCAGGTGCATATCTTGGAGCAACTTTTGCCATTTTTGATAGGCATGTTATTGCCTTGCAGGGATCGAAACACCGAACTATCCTTGGCTCTCCAACCTTGCTATTAAAAAATTGAGTGCAGCAATTTTTGAAAAAAGAAGCCAGAATCCCATTCAAGACGAAGTTTATTCCGAGAAGATGCCCCATGAAATCAAGGAGGCGTGGTGAGTGAGGCGTGATGCATGGATAACGAAGGAAAACCAAGGAAGAAATGAGATCCCTTCTTTGACTCACGCATTGGTGCGAGTCTCATAAATGCTGCCCTCATCTACGCTAACGCTCTCTG